GGCGGCGACGACCGCGGGGCGGGGGCGGCGTGGCCGGGGGCGCGGCGCGCGCTGCCTGCGGCTCAACTTCCTTAGCCTCGACCCTGAGCTCCTGAGTGAGCACCCGAGCCCTCGATCTGGGGCAGAGGTGACACTTGGCATGCTGTGGGGTTAAGGGACCGAGTGATGTGCACGGGGACGGCGGGCTTGGGGTGAGGAACGAGGCACGGGGACTGTGGGGGGACAGAGAGATAGGACAGGGGACAGGACCAAGAGATGCAGAGCTGTAGACAGCAAACAGGAGCCAGCATGGGGGTTCAGGAGGACAGGACTGGGAGAAGGCGAACGATATGGAGGGAAGAGGGGACATGGGGAGAAGGAAGGGCACAGGGATGGGGACGGAGGGCAGAGCAGAGTGGCAGGCACTAAGGGACAGAGGGACACAGAATGGGGGAAAGCAGATGGGGGCTGGGAATGGAATGGAGGGGCGAATACCCAGAACTGTGATGGGAACTAGAGGACAGGATGGCTTTGGGGGACAAGGGCGTGAGGGGGCTGAGGATGGGGGTCCTGGGAGTGGGGTGGAGGGGGCCGGTAGGCCAGAAGCCAGGAGAAGAAAGAAGATAGGACACATAGGACACCCCCCCCCCCAGGCAGCTTGGGAGGCAGAAGAACCAGAGGAGAGGGCTGGGCTGCAGAGCAGCTGAGGCAGGCTGCCCAGAGAGCAGTGTCCTGTCTGGGTCAAGGCCAGGGTGGCCCAATCACTCAGGGGCCTGGGTAGGAGGAGGGTGGAGAGGTGACTGAGTGTTAGCACCAGAAATGTCCAGGAAGTGACTTCTGGTGGGGAGGAGGGAGAGGAGACCACAGGGAGTATCTAGGGCTTCCCTCCGCCATCCCAGAGCCCCAGTAGACACCCCAGGTCCAGCCCAGGATGCCACCAGTCCTGCTCCCCGTGCTCAGCCCTTGGCATGAACCCCAGTGTTGCCTAGGAAGCCAGCCTTGGTGCCCTGTGCAGGAGGCTGCGGCTGTCTCTGAGGCCAGAGCTGGGTCCTCAACAGTAGCAGGGAGCACCCAACCCATGGCGCTGTCTTCCGGATCAGACCGCAGATCTTCCCTCACATACACAGCCCTCGGAGATCCTGCCCTGCCCACAGGCACACGCAGGCTTGTTGGGGTTCACACATGTAGACTGAGGCTGGTAGACTCATGTTTGTGCACAGCATCCCCCATCACCGTCCACGCATATGCCCAGCAATGCAGCCAGTGCATGTGTGCACAGTCTCACATCCATGCATGCCCAGATGTGTGACCATGCAGATAGGCACATGACATCCATGTATGCATAGATGTGTCCTGGCACATATATCAGGAGACCTGCATGTTTGTATTCATGCCCACAGAAATGTGTGTGCACTGTCATAGTACTTGGTGAAATGCGCCAGCAGGGAGTAGGGGCTGTTGCAGGGTAGCTGCGAGGTGAGCTGGCAGGTGGGCAGGGCTGGTGGGATGGGTAGTGGTGAGGCCCAGTTCCTTGAGTACCAGGAGAGACCTGGGTGAGAGCAGGATTGGAGCACAAGGGGCCTTGGTAGTGTGGCTTACACAACTGGGGGGGGGGTGTCAGTTTCTGGTCCAGCAGAATTCTGAGGTCCACAGTGAGGGTCTGGGAATCCAATTGTGCACCCCAATTCCTTGCCTTAATGCTTCTGTTTTGAAAGGGTCCAGTACCTTCCCAGAATCTGAAACTGAAGTCCCAGGCCCTCTGGGGAGGCGACTTTTCCCAGGCTCCCACTCAGGACAGACTTGGGCCTGGTGGGGATCTGTCCAGGAGATGAGGAACCACAGAGACACGGCCTGGCAAGAGGCAGGAAGGAAGTCTTGGGAAAGGAGAGACATTGCCAGAGGGTCAGGGCCCATGCACAGGTTCCATATGGGACATCCAGGGGTCCTTTCTGGCATTGTCGTTGGACTGGTGCAGAAACAGAGCTGGCCAGGGAGACTGTTGGAAATCAGGGAGGAGGCTAGTCTCGGCTGGGGCCCAGCTGAGGGGACAGTGTGCAGCTTACCCAAGTGCCCCAATGCCAGGTCACTCACAGTGGCCCTGCTGGGGTCACCATGGGCTGGAAAAGCATCCTGCATCTGCAGAGATGCCCTGAGGCCCACCAGGCTTTCTGGGGTGTTCTTTCCTCTAACTCGGGGTGATCTCCAAGGCAGTGGCATGCTGTCCGACATCCCCTGGCCACCCTGATTCTCCAGCCTCACCATCACGCACTGTGTCCTCAGGGAATGTAAATCAATTTAAGTATTAGTCTCAGCGAAATGGAATGGGAGAAGGTGACGGTGGTGGAGAAAGAAAGAAATCGCATAATGCCTTCCACAGTCAAACAGGGATGGCTTAGAAATTATCTGTGCTTCAAAGAGCAGGAGGGGGACCTGTTTGGTTCCCCCAACATGGCCCAGGCAGACTTAGGACACAGGCCTGGGGCATCTTTCAGGTAGGGAAACGGAGGCCCAGTAGGGTTCAGTGATTTGTTTCACTGAAGGGCCCCAAGAGATCATGGAGTCCACTCTGCCCGTTTTGCAAGTGGGGGGACAAGCCCAGAGAGGGAATTAACAAAAGGCAGGAGAGTGCCTGGATGTGGTGACCAGAAGGTCCAAATTCCCAAGGAGACACAGGCCCAGGCCAAGCAGGCCTAAAACCGAATGGCATCCAGCCCTATAAGCCTCCTGGCAGCCCAGGACTTCCCTAGAGAGACACCCTGCATTTCCCCTGAACAAGGGACCAGGACAGGTCCGAGGGAGAGAAGGGAAGCGGAGGGGAGGGGAGGGACAGGACAGCGAAGGGTCTGGGAGGAAATGGAACAAGCAGTCCTGGCATCCCATAGCCCTTCCCCATGCCACAGGAATCGACGTTTGACTTATCTCTGGATTATCAGAACCCCCTGGCTGCCTGATGGAGAGTCAGACACAGATGGGGCAGGGCCTCCCTGGGGAAGAAAGTGCCTGGCCAGTGGCCCCCAGAGTTGGGGTTTCCCGGGGTTGAATCCTAAATGATTGGTGTTAACAGGGGCTGCTCCCCGGTAGGGGAAGTTCTTACCCAGTCTGTTTCATGGCAGGAGAAGGGGTCTTCCAGACCTGAGACCTACATCAGGGATGCGGCTTGGGCTGGGGGAGCCTGTGGTGCCCATTGCCCACCCAGACTCTAAACTGGGCCCGCTGGTCTGGGGGAAGCTGCAGTGCGGGGTCCCCTCCCCTCCCCCGGCAGGAGAAGGAAAGAGCTGCCTGACCCAGATTTCTCAACAGTGCTTGCCAGGGAGAGAGGGAGGCGGGAAGCCTTCTTCTCTTTGCCTGTGCTCCTGGCGTGGGGTTGGTTCAAGGAGGGGACATCCCCAGTGGACATTCACTCCATCCTGTGATCCCACCTGGCCCCTGGGGACCAGGGAGGGGCACAGGGCCCCTCCTTGTTTCAGCCAATCCCTCTCCAGTAGGCATCTAGGGTCTCTGACAATAGGTTGGGAGGGTGGGAGGAGCATCGTCACCCCAGACGTGCCTGAGGACACTTGTCTCATCTTTGAGGGGCAGGCTCTGAGCTACCTAAGTCTCAGGCAGGACACCTGGCCTCTCTGTGGGAAACTTCCAGGAGGACCCCAGTATTCACTGCCTGTGACCCGCCCATGCCTGCTGATTGAGATGCTTGGAAGGGAGGTTCGTGGGAAGGAGAGGAAACCGGAAAGCTATAGGACTGGAGTTAAAAGCCATGTCATACAGTCATCAGCAGATACATTGAAAGGAAGCAGGAGCTCAGAGAGGTCTTATCCAAAGACACAGAGCAGGCAGAGACAGAGCTGACAATGGGGACCCCGTTTTCTAAAGAGGTAGTGCAGCTTTATGTGTATAAGTGGCACAAGGGACATAAAGACCAGAAAGGTGAGAGGTGGAGGAAGCAGCATTGATGAGGACCAGCTTTGGAGCAGGTACCGGTGCACACTTTATAGATGGGCTCTTAGCCTTCATCTAAACTCTTAGATGTTATTAGCCCGCTCTACAGCTGAGGAAACTAAGGCCCACTTGCTAATAAGTGGCTATGCTGAGAAATGAGTTCAAGAGGGTCCGACTCCAATGGCGAGCTTTTTTCTCTGCTTCATCATTGAATCTGCAGGGTCCCTGGCTGTAGGGCCTCACTTGGAATAGACCTGCTATTTGGACCAGCACTCTCCAAAGGGGTGAACTCCTTAGGGGCACTGCTTTTCAGGCCCAGCCCTCTGGGGGGAGGTGATGCAGGTGCTTGGAGTACCAGCCCTACACCTGTGGGCTTCTGGGCAGCTCCCTGAACTTCTCTAGCTCAGCTCTTTCATCCATTTAATAGAAATGGTAGCAACCCCTTCTGGCATTGCGAGGGCCACAGAGGGCATCTGGAGCTCCTCGTGCAGAGTCCAGCATTCAGTAGGTTGTATGCTAGAGACAGCTCTTGTCCTTCTAAATCCCTCCATGTCACTGTGCTCAGTAGCTATGTGCAAGAAACCACCGTGGGGACACAGGATCCCATAGCGTAGCACTAGAATGCCATTTGGCCATTTAAAAGAGACAAGGGTCAGGTCATCTTCACAGTCCCAGGAGATAGGGATCATGCTCAGAGGAAGAAACAGAAGCTCAGCATGCACCCCACACTACACAGCTGCCATGTGGCAGAGCGGGGGTTCTGTACCCCAGCCCAAAAACCTGGCTCTGGGCAACTTTATTGGTGCGGATGGAGGACGCAGGGCCAAGCAAGTCTGTCCTCCTCAGGGCAGCAGAGCTGGTGAGCTGCTGTGTTGGGTGCTGGACACAGACCGACAGGGTGGCCTGGGCTGTTCCTGGGGGCTGGGAAGAGGGTTGCAGGGCCTGATGCCCTCCTGTTTCCTCTTTTACAGTGAACTTGTTGGACACGTCAACCATCCATGGAGACTGGGGCTGGCTCACGTATCCAGCGCACGGGGTGAGTGAGGGGACAGTGTCACCCCTCTGTGAGCAGAAAGGGGCTGCACTGCAGTCTTAGCATGAGTTAGATCCAAGGAAAGCAGAGGTTCAGAGAAGTGAAGGAACTGACCCAAGGATGCACAGCAACTAGGGACAGAGTGGCTGCTTCCTTAACACTTTAGTGCATATTGACCCTTGGGATTACAAACCTGTCTCTGGCTTTGGGGACCAGATTCATGTCTGAGATGATGTAGGATCCTCACATTTGTGGCCTGGGCCTGCAGATTCATGACTTGCCAAGGCCAGGCCCAGGGTCACCTGGGACAGGGAAATGGGATCAGCAGGGCCCCCGCCAGGCGTAGCTTCCTTCCAGCTGCCATGTCCTTCCCGTAGCTGTTTGGACCACCCAAGGCCTGCATATTTCTCTCCCTGTCAGGACCACGTGGGAGCATGACAGTCCCCACCATGGCCAGGCTGCCCATCCCATCTGGCCCAGACCACCAGGTCCCTGTGGCTGCTGTGCTCGCTGAGACACCCCTCCCACCTCCAGGGCCCACTTCACATCCTCTGCTTTGCCTTTCCAGTACCATGCCCCCTCCCCCCCCCCCCCCCCCCCCCCCCCCCCCTCATCTCCCGGCGCTGGCCACTCCTGTCTCGGCCGCTGGGGGGCCGCGCTGGACCCTCTGCAAGCCCCTCGGGGGGCCCCCCCCCCCCCCCCCCCGCCCCCCCCCCCCCCCGTAGCAGAGCCTGGTGCAGTGCACCAGGGGCCAGGTCACTTCTTCACCTCCCATCCTGTCTATGGAGAGGGACAAATGTGAGAGGACACCTGGGGTGCGGGGTTGGGGGTGATGATGCTTGTACACAGTGAGCCCTCACTGGATAGAGGCTTCCTCACTGCTACTGTTAGCATGCATTATGTTACTACGTCACGCACGTGGCCTCCCACCAGTGTGCTTGGAGTCTCTCTCTCTCTCTCTCTCTCTCTCTCTCTCTCTCTCTCTCTCTCTCTCTCTCTCTCTCCCAGTCCCCAGCACAGATGTGAGCACGTTGAGCACACTGACTTCTTTCACAGACACTTACAGCTTCCATGGTTTGTAGACAGAGAGACAGTAATGCTGGAAGCAGTAATGATAACAGTGCCAAGAACTGACGCCTATGAAGGGAATCTTTCTTGACTCGGGGGTAATTTTCAGCTGGGCTGGAGGTCAGGACAGAGCCCTGCTCTCCTCTCTCTGGGGGTTGCATCAGTAGGCAGCAGTGAGCTGAGCCTCCATCACAGTCCCTATGCACAGGGTCCTGGGGAGCTGGCCGGGCCCAGTGGGTGCGGACTGTCCAGGTCCAAGAGCCAGGAGGGGTCCCTCCTCTCATATTTAGTGGGGCAGCCTGTGTGGGCCAGTCCTGCTAGAGGACCAAGGCTGGGCTCTGGGCTGGGTGTCTCCTCTGTGAAACTCCTCTCCTTGTGGCTGTCCCCATCGGCTTGCGGCAGTAGAAAAAAGGCTTTGGTAATGCAAGCCATCGTGGCCTGTGACAGAGGCCAGCCTCGCTCAGGTCTGTCCCGACTGCCTGCTACTGGCCAAGTTGGCATTTCTCTAGTTCCGGGGGCTGGTGAGGGGCATGCTGGCACTGCCATGCTGGGGTCTCTATCACAGTGCTTAGTATTTGGCCTTAGGGTAACAAGGAGACGGGGTGTCAAGCGGGTGGGTACCCTGCAGGATTTGTATTTTGGACATCATGCTGGGGTAATTGAAGCTCCTTTTGTTTGTATGAGCCACAATACAGTGTCCTCTCTTTTTATTTAGGATTTAGAACAGATAAGAACAACTTTGGTTCAGATAGCTCTTGACAAGTCTAGGCGCTACATCTAAACCCATAACCAAGCCTTCCAGATATTTAGGCCCATTTTTCAGAGGCAGATGCTGAGGCTCAGAGCAGTGAGAAAACCTGCCCATCACTGGCAGGCTCCAGTGACAATGAGCTAGGTGCCAGCTTTCCCTGGGTCCCTTCTCCACCTTGTAAGGGCGGGTAGCAAGGCCTCCTCTGTAGCCACATGTGGAGAGGGGGCTCAGTCTGTGTTCCACTGAGCAAGGGCTCAGTCACTGTGGACACCGGTGTTGCTTATGGAAGAAAGAAGACTGCAGTTTGGGGCCCGGTCTCCAAGCTAGGCTTGCAGGAGAAATGTGCAGGGGTCCCTGCCCAGAGGTCAGGGAGGGGCCTGGGAGTTTTGGATTCAATATACTTTCTGGGGGATTCTCCTGCCCGGCCTGGAGAAGAATCTTTGGCCCTGGATGTTTTGTGTGCCCCACTGATTCTGGAGTCTGCCCAGCTGTCTGAATTCAGAGGTCATCCAGGGCTGCCTCCAGCATCAGATGATGCTCAGCCTGAAGGGCAAGGGTGCTGGGCTCTGCCTGCGGATGCCAGTGTGATTCAGGCTGGCCATTGACCTCACCTCAACCATCACAGAACCTGCAGCAGTTGCCAGTGGGGTGATACCCAAAGAGGACACTTCCCCGTAAAAGTCTGGGTCTCTGCAAGGTTAAGCCGCTGTAGCATCAGGGGAGGCTGGAGCCAGAGTTCATGTACTTAGCCTTATCCGTCCCTCTCTGTTCCTGTGCACCTTGCCTGGCAAATCAGCAGCTGCTGAGGTGAGGGGGCATGGTCACACCCGCTCCTCACTACCTCCTGGAGAGACAGAAGGAGCAGGCATTAGCCACTCTACTTCACAGATGAGAAGCCCAGGCTCCAAGAGGGGATGTCCCCTCTCAAGGTCACACTGCTAGCTTGCCAAATCCAGTTCCAGGAAGACAGAGTTGAGGGAACAGTGTCTCTAGTCAGCTGTTGGGTCTCAAGGGGCAACAGGGATAGGAGTGGCATTCTGTATGGATTAGGCTGCCACAGGTGGTAAGCAGGGCACTTCTGCCCTTGTGCCCCCCTCTGGGATTCTGTGCCACTCCAGGGGTCCACAGTAGCTCCCAGGGCTGGCAGACTGGGCCAGGCCATTGGCACTGGTGGAGAGGCTGGAGCGGACTCAGATTGAGCTGATTAATTTATCTAGGGCCCTGGCAGGAAACAGACAGGGAGCAGCTGGCAGGCTCTTTGGTGTTCCATTAATTGTGACAATGACTTTAACCCCAGATGTGGTGCGCTGCCACCCGGAGGCTCTGGCCGCAGTGTAGGGTGTGTGGCAGTGTTCCTTTGTGGGTGGAGGACAGGAAGCATAACCTTGCATGGGTGAGACTGGTTTTCTGGGTACCTCCTTGGATGAGAACCCCTCCCCCACCAGCCCTCGAGGCAGGTGGCTGGCCTGGGAGTCACTGCCAGTTCAGGAGTGTATTTGTCCCCTGATTAAAAAGTGTCTTCCTGTGCCAGACCCAAGCTCAGCACTTTGCAGGCATCTCCTCCTGCAGCATCTCAAGCCTGGCAGAGGCGGGGCCCCTCTTCACAGAGGTGAGTGCTGAGAGTGGAGACCTCATGAGGACGGAGGCAGGGCTTGCGACAGCCCACAAGATGCCATGGCTCCCACTCTAGCACTCAGGGAACAAGCTCAGAACTACACAGAGCCTCAGAGCAAGAGGACTGGTCTTCCAACCCCCACCCACTTAAGCCATAGGATCTTTAGTTCAAGGGCAGCTGCACATGAGGAGACTTAAGAGAGGTCCGGCCGTGGTATCTGTGCTGTCGCGGACCCCAACATCTAGCCTTAGCTCCTGACTAGGGACCTCTGGACTCAGCCCAGTGTCTGCGCCTACCAGTGGGGCAGCCAGGATGGACTCTTTCCTCCCCATGCAGGGCAGGGCAGCCGGTGGAACATGCAGGTGGCACAGTCAGAAGGCCCCGGGAAGCAGCTGGGTATCTTGCACAGTGGGACACAGCAAAATGCCTGCCCCCTGCCCCCCAGGACACACTGCACACACTGCCTTGTCTGGTGGATCTTGAGCCGCCTGACTGCAGGAGGTATTTCTGGTATTTTCTTTTATTCTTTTTGTTGTTCAGGTAGACAGGCTGGACTGAAACTTGGGATCCTCCTGCTTAGTGTCCCAAAGCACTGGGGTTACAGGTGTGTGCCCTCACCCCTGGCTCATTGCCACCATTTTTATGCTTATTATTATTATTATTATTATTATTATTATTTTGTGGTACCAGGGATTAAATTCAGGATCCTGTGCTTGCCAGGCAGGCACTTATTCTACTGAGCTAGTCCCCAGCCCCATCGCCTCCAGTTTTAAGTGGCACTGAATACCTTCACCAGGGCCACCACCCATCTCCAGAACTCGTTCTGTCTGCTAACATGGAGATTCTTTGCCTGTAAAACAGTACCTCCCTCCCCCTCCCTGCAGCCCCGGCAACCACCATTTTATTTTCGATCTCTGCAAATCTGACTAACCTAGGTAACTTATATAAGTGCAATTATACAATGTTTGTCCTTTTGTTTCTGGCTGATTTCATTTAGCATAATGTCCTCAAGTTTGATCTATGTTGCAGTATATATGAGAATATCCTTCTTTCTAAGGCCTAATAATATCTGTTGTATGTAAGCCCTGCATTTTATTCATCCATTCATGTGTCGATAGCCACTTGGGCCACTTTCACGTGCTAGCCTTTTAATTTTTTTTTTCAGCACTGGGGATCAAACCCAAGGTTTTACCCGTGCCGTGAGAGGGTTGAGTCACTGAGCTACACCCCAAGCTGCACATTTTGGCAATAGTGGGCGATGCCGCCGGGAGCAGGGTCTGCAGATGCTTCCCCAGACCCCGCTTTCAGTTCTCTGGGGTGCAGACTCAGAGCTGCTGGATCCCTCACACTGCTAGCTTTGATTGTTGTGGGGGAGCTGCCGCACTGCTTTCCACAGCGACTGCACAGAGGCAGGACATGAGGACTCTGTTTCCTTCGCACTCTCATTGATACTAGTTGTTTTCTGTTTTTGTTTCTTTTTAATATAATAGCCATCCCACTGGGCATGAAGGGGCCTCTCATTGTGGCTTTGATTTGTATTTCCCCGGTGACCCATGGCGCTGAGCATCTTGTTACGTGTGATTTGGCCGTTTATGTATCTTCTTTGGAAAAGTATCTGAAAAAGTCCTTTGCTCATTTTTTTTTTTTAATTGGGTTGTTTGTTTTCTGTGGTTGAGTTGTAGGAGTTTTTCAGAGTTTTCTTTGGATATTAATCCCTTATCAGTTAAATGATCTGCAAATATTTTCTCCCATTGCGCGGGTTGCCTTTCCATTCTGCAGAGTGCCCAGTCTCTTCCTCAATGACTCATGTCCGGCCAGCAACCAGTATACACCTGATCACACCTGCCTCCCCTGCCTCCTGGGACTTGTTGATTGGACCCAGGCCAGCAGGGGAGTCCCCAGCCTTGAGTGGTGGCCAGCAAGAGCAGTAGGGCAGAGCACGTCCTTGGTCAGGCAGTCACTCAGCAAGCAGTAATGTAGAATGGGTTGCTGGGGGATCACAGGAGGGGCTGCAGCATGCTCCACGGGGTCATGCATTGCAAGATTCCGCTGGCAGCCGATAACGGAAACAACCTGTCAACCTCCTTAAGCAAGTCCCCTCCTCTAGGAGTGCCGGATGAGGCCAGTTAGAGACACAGGCCAGGCTTTGGCGTCAGACAGTCCGGGGCTCAATGCCAGCTCTGCTTCTTCCTAGCTAGTTGACCTGCAGTGCCTGAGTCTGAACCTCTTGGCTCCTCACCTGTACCAAGCCCCAAAGGCACAGGTCCTCTGTGAGACCTGGCAGCGGTGAATGTCCCCACTTGCCCTGCAGGCTGCCTGCCCAGCATGTGCTTCCTGGGACTTGGGAGTTGGCAGGAAGGAGGGCAGGCCCTGTCCCTTAGGGGGCTGTGCTCTTTGCCCGCAGTGGGACTCCATCAACGAGGTGGACGAGTCGTTCCATCCTATCCACACCTACCAGGTGTGCAACGTCATGAGCCCCAATCAGAACAACTGGCTGCGCACCAGCTGGGTGCCCCGTGATGGTGCTCGGCGGGTCTACGCTGAGATCAAGTTCACATTGCGTGACTGCAACAGCATGCCTGGCGTGCTGGGCACCTGCAAGGAGACCTTCAACCTCTACTACCTGGAGTCTGACCGCGACCTGGGTGCCAGCACGCAGGAAAGCCAGTTCCTTAAGATTGACACCATCGCGGCCGACGAGAGCTTCACTGGCGCTGACCTGGGGGTGCGGCGGCTCAAACTCAACACGGAAGTGCGTGGCGTTGGGCCGCTCAGCAAGCGCGGCTTCTACCTGGCCTTCCAGGACATCGGGGCCTGCCTCGCCATCCTCTCTCTCCGCATCTACTACAAGAAATGCCCCGCCATGGTGCGCAACCTGGCGGCCTTCTCGGAGGCGGTGACCGGGGCCGATTCGTCCTCTCTGGTGGAGGTGCGGGGCCAGTGCGTGCGGCACTCGGAGGAGCGAGACACGCCCAAGATGTACTGCAGCGCTGAGGGCGAGTGGCTGGTGCCCATTGGCAAGTGCGTGTGCAGCGCGGGCTACGAGGAGCGGCGGGATGCCTGTGTGGGTGAGCGCGCCCTGCGGCGGGTGGGCTCGGTCTGGGCGGGACTTCCGGGGAGGGGGCGGGGCCACCGTGCCCTGAGAGGGTAGGTGGGTGGGGGCGCTGCGCCCGGAGGGTACCGGTAAACCCAGGAGGCAGTTCTTTGTGCTCCTGGCCTGCTGAGTGCCTGAGGGCAAGGGAACAGGTAAGGGGGGAGCAGCCAAGGGGTGGACTGGACGCTGTGGGGATAGAGCTGAAGGAACCTGAGTGATAGGGTGTGCGCCCAAGCTGGGGAAGGATGCTACAGCTAGCTGGGTTAGGAATGGTTCTAGGCACTTTGCCTATTTTAACTCATTTAATACCCTAGGAAATAGGAACCGTTACTATCCTGGTTTTATAGGTAAGTGACTGACGCACGGAAAGGCGAAGTAACTTGTCCAAGTTCACACAGCTGGGAAGCAGCAAAACTATGATTTCTACCCACAAGTCTGTATACAGGGTCTGGGCTGGAAATCAGTAACGTTCTAGGCAGTAGAGTGGAGGGACGCGGACCAGGGCCCTGAGTGGATGTGAGCAGGTAAGGGGCATCGTGAAGGTATCTTTGGGCAGGGACAGCTGGGGGAACAGTCTAGGTTGGGCCTGTCACCAGCCACCAAGTTCAAGCTGCTTGTGTTTGAGGGGAAATTGCCAGGTCCTGTTGAGGACATCTGAGGGCCCACATTTTGCACCAGTGTGTGCCTGTGGATGTACTGGGGGGCACCCATGATGAGCCTGGAAGCAGCGTGTGCGTGAGGGAACCCAGACCCCAGGCAGTGTACATGCCTCTGTGTGTGTGTGTGTGTGTGTGTGTGTGTGTGTGTGTGTGCAGTGTGTGTGGTTACCAGGCAGCCTGAGCAGGGCATCTGTGGGCAGGCAGCTGTTATCCAGCTGGTAAAGTTTCCCTGCCTGATCCCCTGGGGGGCACACATAGCCACTCTGCCATCCAGGCACAGGGAAACCTGGCCATGGAGCCCCTTGGTTCCCCAGGGCAGAAGAGCTACAGGGCAGGGCATGTTTCCATGGAGGAATCAAGAGAGATCAGGCTGCTTGTAATCCCAGCTCTTCAGGAGGCTGAGGCAGGAGGGTCAAAAGTTGGAGCCCAGATCCTGTCTCAAAAAAAAAAAGTGCTGAGGAGGAGGGAAAGAGGGAGGAAGGGACAGGGACAGAGATTCGGAGACAGGTAGGGACACACACTGTAGCCTATCTCTAGATACCCTCTGTGAAATCTGGGACTGAGTCCCAGCAACCACTGGGAATGTCCTCCTTGCCCTTTGCTGCTGCCAAACAGGGCCTGGAGACTGCAGTTAGAAGAAAGGGACTTTGGGCTCTCTGCTCTGCTCCTGACAGGCAGGCAGATGGGGGGAGTCTGATCCCATGGAACCACACATACACACACACACGCACACACACACACACACACACACACACACACACACACACACACACAAAGAGGCAGCTCTGTACCCCTCCGTGCCCAGCTGGGAGTTGTCTTGCACAGTTATCTGCGACCAGCTCTTCCTCTTCTCAGACCTTCTGGCTTTCTCCAGAGCCTTTCTTCATGTCCCCAGCTGCTGCAAGTCTTCACCTGTCCTGCACCCTAAGCCCAGAAGCACCTTCTGTGCATGTGTCCATTTGTGGACTGGTTCTGCCCTATGATCCTTGTCACAGACATCCTGTGCTCCTTGGCCTGCTGCTGGCCAGCGCTGACCACAAAAATTCCTGTCACCTTTGCATCTTACAGAGAGGTGCCTCACACCAGGGTTCATTGCCCATTGTGGCAAGGCAGGTATTACCGCTCTGCTGTACAGGTGGGGAAATCGAGGCACAAGTTGTAGTGCCACCTGCCTTGGTCTCACTGCATTAGAGGGATGGAGCTGGGGTCTACAGGCAGAGCTGTCTTGTTCCATGCAGGTGAAGGTTTCCGACCTCATCCCAGCCTGTGCCTGGCTGCTTTACCGGCTAGAGCTGGCTATAATGTCCCTTCATTCTGATGGGATAATAAAGCACCTCAGTGACAGATTTCAAGTGTCTGCCATGTGCAGGGCTTTTGTGAGTGCTCTTACGCATCAGGTCAGCTATCTGCTCCCTTGAGCATCTTGCATCCTGGCACCAGGGATCTAGACAGGGAGTCCCTGACTCTGGGGAGTTCACAGAGCTTCTTGTCCTCATGATAGCCTCTCAGCAAGGTGTTGTAGCCCCAGTGTATACACAAGAGCCACTGAAGGCCCTCACCTTAGGAGCAGCACAGGGATCTGATCCCAGGTGCTGGGTTCCAGAGGCCGGAACTGCTTCTGCTGACCACCAAACCCTCTTCCAAGCCCACTGTCTTCCTGCCACGTCACACTCAGAGAGTAGTGATAGTATCAGGTGTGACATCAGATGGGACAGTGCAAACCTGTTCAAGGTCAGCACCACCCCCAGCTCTGAGGCTGCCAGGGAGCATAAATAATCTAGTGCTTTGTTTCATGTGCCCTGAGACCCACTGGCCTATGGGCCGGATGTCAGGGGTGGGAGGCAGGAGATGGTTTGGAGAGGGAAGGTGTCCTGTCCCCAGTTTGTAGCACACCAGGGGTAGGAAAGCCCATGGCGGGGACAGCAGGATGTCCCAAGGCTGGGAGAGGCCAAGGCCAGCCTCATTTCCTGGTGTTAGCCCGTTAATAAAAAAAGAAGAAAGAAATGCCAAAGCTGGGTTAGGGAATGGCGGCGTATTTTGAATTTTGCATTTAAATCATAATGCAATATAATTATGCTAGTTGCAAGATAATTACAGGTTTTATAAAATATATTAATTCATAGTGCACTGCAGGCAGAGCAACTCAGGAAGGAATGGTAGTTTGAAGTTATACGAGGAGAGACCTTTTCCAGCTCTGTTGGTGGACTCCTGTGACTGTTGGCATCACCCCGTTTGGAAGGAGCAGCCCAGGTCCCAGACTGAGGCCCTGAAGATGGAGCCTAGCAGTCCCATCCATGTCCCCTTCCCCACACTATGTAAAGCCCTATCATCATCCCAATGGACAGCCTGAGAGTGGGGAGGATTGGGCCCAACCAGGAACTGGGGACAGTATGGGGACCTTCCTGGTCACTTGAGACAGCCCTCTCACCCTTCCTGGAGCATTCTTCAGGAACCATCTGGAGGCCTTTAGGCTCCAGCCAGTCCGAGACCCTCCTGCCTCTGCTCTCTGAGCAGACCATGGGGAAGCAAGGGGATAAGGGTTACCAGCTCACCCATACCTGGGCCCTGCCTTATAGTAACAAGAGAACTGACCTGCAGCCAGAGCCAGGGCCACAACCTTTCTTCTTCCCACCTTGGGCATTCATTCTCTCAGCTGCCCTCAGAACCCCCTAGAGAGTGTCACAGATGGACACAGTAATGTCTCCGAGGAGAGAGACCCTCCTGTCCCATGGTTATGCAGAGGCCTTGCTGAGATTGTATCAGAGAGGTAAAGCAGCCAGCCCAGGGATGCACAGCAAGGGGTGATTGATAGAATCTCAAATCTCTCAGCTCTCCCACTAGAAAGCTCCCCAACACTGCCAGGGTGACCATCCCTAACGCCTGGATGTTCTCCCATCCCATAGCTCTTCCAGAAAGGGGATGGACTCTCAGCCTCCCCACCTGGAGCATGGTCTGAGGTCTGACGTCCCTGTTGCCATCTTTCCTGTCACCTGGACGCAGAATATAAATCACCCTCTGTGGTCCTAATCATCTTTCTATAAATATCAGAGCCTCATTTCAGAGGGGGAGCATGAACAAAGAGCTCTTTTGCCTTCCTGACTGTGTTTAAAATCTGATTTAGAATTAATTTCCTTTGGTCGTCCACCGGCGGACACCTTATTTGTCAAATCTCAAGCTCTTCGCAGGGGAGAGCAGAGAGGTGGTTGGGGCCACGGGCAGCTGACGGCCTGACAGGCGGCCTGGGCAAGGTGCCCTCGGCAGGGGCAGGGGCCCCTCCTGGCCCAGTGCCCGGCGTGTGGGCCACACAGACTCCGGAAGCATCGTGGGTCGGCAGCAGGGCCAGGCCACAGCCCAGAGCTACTCCATCTGTCTTAGCCTTGAATTCCCAGCCCAGCCACCAGGTCTCCGGGCTCCCTCAGGCCTGGTGATTAGTATTCTTATTAAAGATTATTTTATTTTCACTGCGTGGATTAATCTGGCCTTGACACGGTATAGCCATATGGGTATTAGCTGAGCTGTGGGAACCACCGCCTGGTGAGCAACAGAATGGAACAGCCACCTCTGAGCTCCAGGGAGGGCGGGCGTTGCAAGGGGAGCTGGGGGGAGGGAGCAGCAGTGTCCCAGCCTGGCTTTGTGTCCTGGCTCAGCTGAGCCCAGGAACCCCCGAGGTGCCCAAGATCCCGGGAGCAGCTTTGTCTTTTGCCCAGCAGTCGCACCAACGCCAGCTACATCCGACTGTAGCAGCAGGTGCCAGGCACCACCCCAGCCCAGATCCACACATCTTCCTTCCTGGGTCCTTGGAGTGAGGGCAGGTGCTACAAAATGGGCACATTTTCCCCACCCCAGCAACTGCTTAACCCCTTCTAGCTCCTCAGCCCCTGTCCTGTCTCCAAAGCCACATAGGGTGTTACTGATCCTCCTGATTCCAGGCTTTCTCTCAAGTTAGTAGAATTTTAGCAGTTAGCCTGGCTTTGACAATTATAATGAAGAGATCAACATCCAAGGAAGAAACAAATAGAACTCTCCAATGCCGAGGCTTCCGGGGGGAACTTCATGCTAGAACCCCAGAAATGCTAGAACCCCAGAAAGTTTTCTGCCGTCCCCACCACGAAAGCACTTCAGTTCCGAGGGTGTAGCTGGGTGCTGCCTGGCTGAGTGGGGCCCTGGGGTCTCTGTGTCCAGAGCACACAGTGATGGGGTCCACTCATTTGGAAAATTCTGGCAGTGTTAAGCAGCGTCTGCTCCGAGCAGCCCCGTGTCAGGTGCTGGGGACTCGAAGATGGGCAAGGGTCTGCCCCCAAGGTCTCCTAGTGCAGGAGGAGATGGAGACACGCAGCTAGAATGTGCAGCTGGGGTGGCACAGATGGAGCAGGGGCTGCAGCACAGGGAGGGATGTGGTGGCTCCAGGGTGTGTATGTTCAGTGCATGAGTGTGTGTGTGTGTGTGTGTGTGTGAGAGAGAGAGAGAGAGAGAGAGAGAGAGAGAGAGAGAGAGAGAGAGATGTGTTGAGGCCCAGAAATGATGCAGTGAATCAATGGATAAAAATAATACTGAAAAATCACTCCCTGGCCTTTTGGCTAAGATCAAGTATAGCATCTGTTCTTACCAGTTTAATATCTGATACAGCCTCTATCTGAGGACAATGTATTAAATAAGAGTTAAATAAAACCTGAAAGGTGTAATAGATACAGTAAAACAGAAAGAAACTGAACTTAAGGATTAAACAATGAAGATGAGAGAAAGGAGAAAAGATAGGAAGAAAGGAAGGGGGAAAAGCATGCAAGTATATATACTGGATGGCTGAGATGATTGTACTGGTAGTTTTCATCAGTTTTTTGAAAGTGGCAGTTAATGTTTAGAATTTTCACCTTGACTAACTCAGGATGCTGATGTCTACAATCTGAGCAACTACATCAAGGACAGCAATGTGTAATACAAAACCCGTGGTTGAATTTAAAAGTAATAATGCTGAATGAGGAATTCAGCAGGTGAACAAAAGTAAAACATCGTCTCAGGAGGAAGGCATGGCATGTGCAAAGGTCCCGAGACAGGGACTGCCCTGTGGCCAGTGGTTTCGTTAGGGCTGAGGATGGGGGGAAGGAGGCTGCAAGTAGGTTTTGGTCCACCTGAGAGCTTTAAATGCCAGGTTTTCTTATTAGATAGCAAGTCCCCATGGGGTTGAGCACACAATGACAGAGCAAGGTGTGCATCTTAGAGATTCTTTCAACCTATAATGCCTCCGCTCTCTGCATGGCTGGTTTGTTTTTACTCTGCAGCCTCAACTCAGCCTCCCCTTCCTCTCTGGGATGGTCGCCCCTCGAGGCATCCTATTTCCCTGCTGGACACAGTCATAGCTTTGTTCACGAGGGGCTGTGTCTCTATACCCAGAGCAGCCTGACCTGGGCTGTGCTCCTAATAGTAGTGATGTCGAGGATCAACCGATCCTGCTGGCAAGCTGGGAGGTGTGAGGTAGGGAGGGCTGGAGGTGGCAGTCTTCATCCAGGTGAGAGGGAAAGCAGATGACAGTGGCTGGAGAGAGGTCACTGGTGACAGTGATGCTGTGGGCCTGGAAGGGGCAAAGCCTTTGTTCCCTGCCTGGTCAGCTTACCTGTGGAGCCTGGCCTCACCCCTGGCTCTTGTCACTTGACTGCAGGGAGTGTGAATCCAGACTGAGGGCGTGGCTTCGTGTCCGCTCTGCTGTGGGGAGCTCAGGTCTTCTGCATCTGTCTCTTTTCAGGTCACAGTCCCTATGTAGCTTTTACATTCCTGCCCAGGGTTTTGGTTACTCTGATTCTCAGCTTTCTGATGCCGCCCTCAACAGCCAGCGTCCCGCAGAGGACAGACTCTGAGGCTGGACATGGGGTGGGAAGGCCTGTGGTAGGAGCAGTCGGGGAATTTGGAGAAACTCCTGGACCACTTTGGGGTTGTGGCTTAGGAATCAGAGCCTCAACTCAACTCTGTTCCTGACATGCTGTGCAGCTCTTTGTAAAGTCAAAGAGCCTCTCTGTGCTTCAGGCCCTCCACCTGCAAATGTGGGTGAGCTTGGATGATGCTGAAGAAGCAACTGTTCCTCTGGGAGTCCCAGGGAGAGCTGTCCCCAGGTCCACCACGGTGGCCTGGCCTGCTTACCTGCAGCTGCCTTCTCTCCCACAGCCTGCGAGCTGGGCTTCTACAAATCAGCCCCAGGGGACCAGCTGTGTGCCCGCTGCCCCCTGCACAGCCACTCCGCAGCTCCCGCTGCTCAGACCTGCCGCTGTGACCTCAGCTTCTACCGCGCAGCCCTGGACCCACCATCTTCAGCCTGTACCCGTGAGTACCACTCCAGGCCCCAGTACCTAGGAGCCATGGCCTGGGCTGGCACCCGTACTGGGTCCCAGTGCTCTGTGGGCAGTACAAGGTGGAGAGCCTTGTCTGGAGTTGACAAGATGGTGACTCCTTAGCAGTGGCCTTGGCCACCCCTGCTTCCCAGCCTCTTGTGATGTGTCACCCTCGGTCTCTCTGGGAAAGTCTTTCCATCCCTCCCTTGGTTTCTCCTTGTCAAGAGGACAGATGCCTTGCCAGCACAGGGCAGCTTGCTTATCTTCTGACTCTGATACCCAGGTGACTGAGCAGGCTAGGCCACCCTGCCAGCACCCCATCACCATCATCCTAGATGGACCATTGGAGCTGCTATTGGCTGGGTGCAGCCTGTGAGTGCCGTGTGTGCCTGAGTGTGTGTAAGGGGTGTGTGTGTATAAGAGAGATTTGGTGTGTGCCCCAGGATGCCACAGGGTGGTGTGACTGTGTGGTCTTAGTGAAGATCCCTGCGCGGTGTTTGTACACCTGAGTGTGAGTGTGCAGAGTGCTCACGTAAGGGATTCCTGGGAGCGTGCATGTATGTCAGGGTACCTGGAGGGGGCTCACACGCTCGAGCATGTTTCTAGTGAGCTCAGCAGGTATAGGAGTGCGTGTGCATGCCTGGCCTTGCAAGGAGGTGTGGGCCTGCACAGCAGATGCGGTACTGTGTACCTGAGGGACTGTGGGGGTTCCATCACCTGCCTTCCTGCCTGTGGTCTCAGAGCCACATGACTGTCTTGGTGGGCTATGTAGTAGCTCCTCCATCCTGTCCTCTCCCTATCCCTACAGTGGCTGGTCACAGCTCACCCTGGCACGAAAAGCTCCTCGCTTACTGATCCTGGCTCTGCCGCCTTGGCCCCTCCCCCTTCATCACCCAGCCTCAGGCTCCCTGCTCAGTCCTGCGAGGGCACAGGTGTGGGTGTTCTCACCCGTGTGTGCCAGGAACACACATGTGCCCTCCAGCCCCCCACTATTCTGACCAGATCTGTGCAGTGTCCCCACACAGGGCCTGTCAGGCAGAAAAGACAGCTGCGTGACAGGGAAACTGTGTGGGCTCCTCAGGCAAGGTGAGCCCAGCTCTCAGGGGTGGACGCTTGGGCACAGCTGGCTGGTCTCTAGTCTCTTTCCAAACCCTATAATTCAGTGCTTTAAGATCCTAAAAATCCAGAGCCTGTGAAGGACTGGGCTTTTAGTATTCCACACCCTCCCAATTGCAAACTCGTCTTCTCTGCAGAATGTGAGCATCTGTGAGTCTGAAATCTCACAGTTCTGGTTTCTGAAGACCTTACATTCCCTGCCTAGGAATCTGAGAGTTAGGATTTTGAGGTCTGGGGCTCCCAGCTCCATCCCCACCAGGGCTTATCCCAGCCTCATCCCTTAGCCTCATCTCCAACCAGGTAGCCACCTCTCTCTGTCCAAAGTCTTCATGCAGGGGCCAGGGAGATGGCTCAGTGGAATAAGTGCTTCCCGGGCAAGCGCAAGGGCCTGAGTTCAATCCCTGGTTCCACCAAAAAAAAAACCCTCAAAACACAAAGTCTTCATGCAGCTCAGACCCGGGCCATGCTGGGGGTTGGGGAGAGGCTACTTGTCCTTCACAGCTGTGGGAGATGCATGGGGGCCTCCTGGGCTCCACTTTATTCCATGACAAGTGCTTAGTGGCTGTATACATTAAATCTAGCACAGGTGAGGGGGGGGCACGAGGGGACAGAGAGCCAGGAAAGTAGGCTGCTCTGGGCTCCCTGGATTGGGTCTCCCCCCAGCTCTGGGTACAGGCTGTGGGAGCTGTCTGGGGCAGGAACTTCCTTTCTTGGGCCCAGACCCTGACACCAGTCTGGTGGCAGAGACACAGCCTCTGTCCTTGGGGAGCTTCCAAGGACTGAGTAGATGTGACTTTATTCTAAGGAGCCCTGTGTATGGTGGTGCCCTTCCTGTGGGGAGCTCAAGGCCTGAGTACCAGGCGAGTCCTCTGCTGGGGAGACTGGATGAGCCCCGACAGATACCTTCCACCCCTCTGTCATCTTTTTTCCCTCAGGGCCGCCCTCGGCACCGGTGAACTTGATCTCTAGTGTGAATGGGACTTCTGTGACCCTGGAGTGGGCCCCTCCCCTGGACCCAGGTGGCCGCAGTGACATCACCTATAATGCTGTGTGCCGTCGCTGCCCATGGACACTGAGCCGCTGTGAGGCATGCGGGAGTGGCACCCGCTTTGTGCCGCAGCAGAAGAGCCTGGTGCAGGCCAGCCTGCTGGTGGCCAACCTGCTGGCCCACACCAACTACTCCTTCTGGATCGAGGCTGTCAATGGTGTGTCCGACCTGAGCTCTGAGCCCCGCCAGGCTGCAGTGGTCAACATCACTACGAACCAGGCAGGTAGGTGGGGATGCTTCACCGGCAGCCTCCCAGGCCCAGGATCAGGGTGATATTTGGTCTTACTGTGGGCTTTGAGCGAGCAGCCACCACTCTTAGCCCTGCCTTTCCTGTCAGGATCCAGAGCTAGGTACACTTCATGCCCTTAAAAAAGTAAAACATGAGCTGGATGTGGTGATGCACATCTGTAATCCCAGCACTCTGGAGGGAGGCAGAGGCAGAAAGACCCTCAGTGCAAGCCCAGCCTGGGCTTCTTAGGGACTTACCCAGCCCCTGTCTCAAAAGGAAAAGCAAACAAAGGATTAGAGATGTGGCTCAGTGGGAAGGTTCTAGGTTGGATTCCCAGTGTGGAAAAAAGAAAAGAAAAAGAAAAAGAAAAAAGAAGAAGAAAAAGCATGTGTCCCACGAGGGGAAGGAGTACGGACAGCATGGGGCAGCTCATGCAGCCACCAGAAGCCTGACTTCCAGAGCTTTCCCGGCTTTTCCCTGACTGCCTTCTGTACCGTTGTGAGGCTTAAAAGAGCGGACTGAAAATACTTAGCCCAACACCTGGCCGATGGTCCATGCCCAGCAAATGTCATCAAAAAATAAAATCACTTTGATGATCGTTTTTCCAGCACAGCTGCTGTGGCCACCCATGGGATGGCTTTGGTGGCTCTAGTTTGGCTCTCAGCCATTCATCTGCTGCTAGCTGGTCGCTGGGCAGAATTCAGCCTCTGGAAACTCTTTCTTTCCAGACTCTGGTGAGTCCTATCTGTTAGGGGACAACCTGATCTAAGAGGCCATGGAGGGCAGCCTCCCTGTGAACAGCTACCCTAGATGTGCTGAGGCACCCTCAGGACCCCTCCCAGCCCGCAGATTCCTACTTGCATGTGGAGGGAGAAGCTGAGGCCCAGGAAGCTGTCAGGTGCTGTCCACATAGGAAATGGCAGTGAACAAGCAAACCCAGGTCTCCCCCACTCCCAGGGAAGCAGCCTCATCTCTGAATCCAGGATGCCTCAGCTTCACCTCTGTCTTACCACTTTCTTTGTCACTGGGACACCATACCCACACTCAGAGGAGGAGAGGTTTATTGTGGCTTACAGTCCTAGCTCGATAGTCCACTGGGTCCCCAGGAAGCAGAGAGAAGAGAGGGGCTGGGCGGGGAGAGATACCAGGCACAGCTCCAGTGACCTGCCTCTAGCCAGGCTGCACCCCCTAACAGCAAGTCAGTTGTGGCACTCTTTGTTCAGTCATCTTCCCAAAGCCCACCTCTGAGCACATGAGGCTTTGGGGGACATTTTTTTTTTTTAAAGTAGATCTACAGGATCTCACTATGTAGATCGGACTTGTAGTGATGTGCCTGTGTTCAGCTTCCCAAGCGCTGGGATTACAGGCACGCACCACCACTCCCAGTCTCAATCCCCATTTCAGCATGCCTTGGGGGTGGGGCCAGCACTGGCACTGTAGGGATTGAACCCTGACTGCTGCACTCTGCCTAAGCAGGCGCTTTAGTCCCTAAGCTATTTTGGGGGGACATTCTTGATATTAAATAGAAACACTGGCTGGTGAGATCCCCCCACTAGCAGCTACTTGGGGTTTTGCCTTGTGCTAGATGGTCAGTACCACAGTGGGACACAGACCTGTGTTCCTGCTGCTTAGAGCCCTGCTCCTGCTGACTGTCCGCAGGGCCACTGAGAAAGGTGGCTGGTAGGTAGGGCAGAAGGAAGAACAGAACCCAGCAGCATTAGCATTCAGTGGACCCCATCTTACGGGGAGGATCACAGTTCCCTTGAACTTCGCTCTGTTCCGGCCACCCAGTCCTTCCTCTTCCCTGAGAACCTCCTGCAAGAGGCAGCTCTGCTGTGCCCACTGCACCTTTTCCTCCCTTGAGGGCCTCTGGCCGCAGCCCTACCAGGTGCCTCTCCTCAGCCCACTCAGCACCTGGGGCACATCCAGTGGGCGCTTCTTCCCTTTTCTTGCCTCCTCCTCAGTGTTCCTTCCTCTTACGTTGGTGTCCCCATCAGCTCCCCTCCTTCTCAGCCAGCCTGCAAGCACTGGAGGACCCCAGGTGTGTCTTGGACCCTCTTCTCTCCCATGTGCCTAGACTCTCTGCAAGGTGACCTACACTTTGAATCCCGCCTCCATAAGAACAGCCCTGGCACTGGTCACCCGTGCAAACCTATCTTAGAGATCCAGGAGCACTCTCCTGACTCCACTCAGAAGAGTGACATGGAAGCCCCAGCACCCCACCTCGCTCCTGCCAAGCAGCCTGGCCACAGGACAGGGCACCACTGATCAGCGGGCTGCACGGGCCCCGTAGCCAGATTCTCGTCCATGACTGGGTGCCACATCATCCCCTGGGGGTCTCCTTCACAGCGACCAGCTCCACACAACGCTCAGTCCTTGCTTGTCTGTGCCCTTCTCATGTGTTGCCTGGACTATGCATGAGCCCCTCTCCCTCATCCAGCCCATGAATGGGTCTGTGTGCTGCACATCTTGAGTAAACTTTACAAATATAAGTGAAGCCAGGCACAGCTATTCAGGAAGCTGGGGCAGGAGGATTGCAATTGGAGACCATTCTGGCTCCCCGGGGCGATTTAATGACCCAGTCTTAAAAGTTGTTGTTGTTGTTTTAAAAAAAGGCTCAGGATGTAGCTCAGCTAGAGCCCTTGAGCAACATGCGCAAGGACTTGGGCTCTAAAATGGCTTCAGACTGAGAGCACCTTTGCTTTCCCATGTGGGTCCACTTGCCCTTTCCAGCCCACCCTGCCCACTGCTGCCCTGGCTCCCTGCTTTCCAGCTATACGGGCTGTGAATGCTGAGCCCTCCCTGCCGCGGGCGCTCCTAAGCTGGAAGTCAGTCTCTTCTGTCCTCACAGGGTAATGGTGGCCCGCCCACGTGTAGCACAGAGATGGCCCTTGACTTAACTGGGGCCCCTGCTAGTGAGAGAGGGAGCCCCCTTGTGAGCCACACCCCCTCCCAGGCAGGCAGGTTCCGTTGTATCACACCCCTCCAACGCAATTCTACATTTGCTTTCTTAATTTCCTGTCTCAGTCTTCCAGCAGCACTTATTGGGCACTTACTGTATTCAGTCTCTGCCCTAAGGGAAATCTTAGGCACTCTGGGAAGACAGGTCAGGGAGGAGCTGGCCAGGAAGGACAGGGTGACATGGGAGAGTAGGACAGAGTCCGGAAAAGGGGTGGGGGAGGCGTGAGCGACAGGGAGGGACAGGGCCGCAGCCCGTGGGCAGTGCTTTCAGTTTGCCCATGGCAGACTGTATGCAGCACCTCCCAGCAGCCTCCCTTAGGGAAAGCGGGGATGGGGGTGAAGGATGGGTGATGGTGAGCTGGGGAGCCTGGGGTGAACCGGAGACTCCTTGAGCTCAGGTGGGAGAAATCCAAGAGCTCATCCTTCCGCCAGGCCCGGGGAGGGGCGCTCTGGGGCAGCTGGGCCTGAGTAGGTTAAGCCCACCGGACACCCCAGATACATCCAGGCTGTGCAGTCCGGGACTGACCCAGTCCCTGGCTGTGCCGTGGAGACAGGGGTGCTGGCTTCCCCTGGTCCCGACGGGACTGGCAGTAAGCGGGATCCTGCGGTGGGGGGAGGAGGACTGGCCAGAGGGACGCCCCCCCCACCGGCCGCTGCTCCCCAGCCCCGTCGCAGGTGGTGGCTATCCGGCAGGAGCGCGCCGGCCAGACCAGCGTGTCGCTGCTGTGGCAGGAGCCCGAGCAGCCCAACGGGATTATCCTGGAGTACGAGATCAAGTACTACGAGAAGGTAGCGGGCGGCCGGGGCGGGCGGGCTGAGGGGCGGGGCCTCGCTGACCACGCCCCTCCCGCAGGACAAGGAGACGCAGAGCTACTCCACGCTGAAGGCGGTCACCACGCGGGCTACCGTGTCGGGCCTCAAGCCGGGCACGCGCTACGTGTTCCAGGTGCGAGCGCGCACCTCCGCGGGCTGCGGCCGCTTCAGCCAGGCCATGGAGGTGGAAACCGGGAAACCCCGTGAGTGCAGGAGGCGGGGCGGAGAAAGGGGAGGTGCCACACGGGAGTCCCAAGGGGGCTGCTGTCTTCCCTTTTACGAGGGGTGAACCCAGGCTCAGAGAAGGACAGGTACTTGCCCGAGGCCACACAGAAAGCAACAGCGCCATCTCCCTGCTGGATTTTCCTAAGCATCACTGAGTCGCACAAGTCTGTGGTGTTCTTGCCAGGGTGGGGGACACTTGTAATGTGTTCCAGAGGCGACTTTCTGGGATAATGTCTCCTGCATCCCCAGTTTAGGAGGCAGTAAGGGTCAAAGCAGTAAAGCAATCCAATCTGTCCAAGGTCACAGGACAGTAAAGGTCTCAGGCCCCAGTGGAAGGTCCCTCTCCTGTGTCATCCATCCTACAGCCAGCCCCAGGAGTCGGCAAATGTGCTCTGAGGCCAGCGGTATCAGGTTACCAGCAATGCCCATTCTCAGGGGCCCAACTCCTCTGAGTGAGCAGCCCTGGTAAGGGGGGTTGCCAGTGGGTTTGTGCAGCCCTCAGAGTGGCTCTGAGACCCTGGGATCTGGGAAGCACCCGCTCTTAGGCTGCCCCTTCCTCCACCATGGCCTCCAGTCACGGGCCACTCCCCCGGCCCCAGGGTGCCTCAGAAAGTCTGAGCCCAACCACCCTGAGACTGGACGTGGAAATCCTGCCCCTTCTGTCCCACTTACTGAGTGGCCTGCAGAAAGTTCCTTGAGTTTTCCGAGCCTCGGTTTTCTCATCTGAAAATGCAGATACGACTAGGCTGTCCTGGCAGGGCTGTGGGAGGGTGAGGGGACGGTGAGCCAGGGTTGCAGATGCAGCTCCCAGCATGCTTCACCTCAGGACTGTGAGAGCGCCAGGCAGGACTGATGCTCTGCGCTCATCTGTACTGTGCTTAGGGAGGTGAAGTGCCTCTCCCCAGCTTGCACAGCTCCAGTGGTACGGAGAAGCCAGGCAGCTAGCTCCAGGCAGCAGGGATTTGAGGGGGAAGCTAGAAGAGACTAGGTGGGGGCTGGAGCCCAGAGCAGGCAGGGAGAGGCATGGGGGCCAGGGCCTGAACAGCCCCCATCCTCATCCTGCTGACCTCCAAGGGCCCCGTTACGACACCCGGACCATCGTCTGGATCTGCCTGACGCTCATCACAGGCCTGGTTGTACTTCTTCTGCTTATCTGCAAAAAGAGGTGCGTGGCCCCAGCCCCCAGCCTGCCTTCTCTAGCACTGTGCCTCCTGCCTCTCCCCACCCCACCCTTCTCTTACAAACACATTATCCTGCTTAATCTCAGTGTTAATCTATTGAGGTGATTACCTGGCTTCACTTTTCAGGGCAGTAAAGTGGGGACCAGAGAGGTTAAATTACTCACAGAAATCACACAGTGGTCAGGCACCTGAGCTGGGACGTGAACCCAGGCCTGTGGAACTAGGGCCGTGCTGACTGTCCCTGTCTCCCCTCTCACTCCGTTCCAGAGGAAGGTGGAGATGAGCTAGTGGTGAATGGGCTTCGGGTCTCAGATAGGAGGGATCAGAAGGACCATGGAATGGACGGGGAAACCAAGGTGGGGAGAGGTTGCCAAAGCCACACAAGTGGAGAGAAGCTGGGGGCAGTTCCATGTCTGATGGGGCTTTGCTGTGAGGGTCAGTGGGACTTGAGGGTACTAGGTGGACTGCAGACTGCTTTGGGACTGTCATGGCCGTGACAGTGCAGTTCATCTGGGTAGGATGAGGTCTGGAGGGTTTCTCCCCTGCAGACTTCACAAAAGGCAGGAGCTGGCCTATCAGGGGAAGGGATCAAAGGGGGGCCCTGACCTGTCCCCTGCTGTGATTGTCCCCACAGGCACTGTGGCTACAGTAAGGCCTTCCAGGACTCTGATGAGGAGAAGATGCACTACCAGAGCGGGCAGGGTGCGTGCAGGGTGGGGCTTGGGGCTAGGGGTGTTTGGGGGCCCAGGTCAGAATGGGACGGGTGCCCATGGGAAAGGCCAGTGCCCCAGAGAGAGAAGCCAGGTGCAACAGAGACTCGACCCCAGAGGGAGTCTGCTTCCCTGGATGACTTCCCCTCGAGGAAGCTGGAGACATCACCAGAGAAGAGTGTGAAGGTGCTTGCTCACACACTTTGCATGTGACTTCTGAGGTACACTCTTGGACAAGAGCTCCTACAGGGAGATTTTCAGGATCCTATAGGGACCCCAGAAAACAAGACAAATGTGGGGATACCCCTGCACCCCACTTCTGTCTCCATTAGGATTAGTCACAGTACTGATTCTCACCGGGTGACATGCAGCCTCTGAATCCTGACTGGATTTGCAGGAAACCACTGTCACTGGAGTTGACATCTGTGGAAAAACCATTGTTTTGGGCCATATTCCTACCCATAGTAACTTGGAAAGTTCCCATGGATGCTAGAAGTGACCCCAGAAAACAGTAGACACGCAACAACCCAGACCCCAGAGCTACTCCATAGAGACCCAATTCTCACTTGGCATGCATTGATGGGGCACCTACTGTTCACCATCATATCCAGGGATTCCCAGAGACACCCTTCACCCCTGCCACGCCCACCACAGGCCTGGGGAATGCTGGGAGGGGGATCCCTCCTGGGCCCACTGACAGCCTTTCTCCCTTGGCTTCTCAGCACCCCCACCTGTCTTCCTGCCCCTGCACCACCCCCCAGGGAAGTTACCAGAGCCCCAGTTCTATGCAGAACCCCACACCTACGAGGAGCCGGGCCGGGCGGGCCGTGGTTTCACTCGAGAGATTGAGGCCTCCAGGATCCACATCGAGAAAATCATTGGTTCAGGTAAGCCTGAGGATGTGAGGCGGGGCCAGGAGGAAGAGGGGCTGGGGAGAGCAGCAGGGTGCATTGTGCTCTCCCACTGCCACTCTTGGGGTCTCCAGGGGAGTCGGGAGAAGTTTGCTATGGGCGGCTGCAGGTGCCGGGGCAGCAGGATGTGCCTGTGGCGATCAAGGCCCTCAAAGCTGGCTACACTGAGAGGCAGCGGCGGGATTTCCTGAGTGAGGCATCCATCATGGGCCAGTTCGACCACCCCAATATCATACGTCTGGAGGGCGTCGTCACCCGTGGTAGGTCCCAGACAAGGGTGGCCTCACCCTGCAGGGCTTCCCCTGGGCAAATGGAGCTGGAATCCACCTCTGGGCCCTCTGCCCTGCCTTTGTACTCTTAGTGCAGATCCTCAGATGGCCCTGCTGGGACTCCTAGGATCCAGGACCCTTAGTGCCAACCCTGCTCCGGGTGGGGCATGTTCCTGGGGCCTCTGGTCAGCAGCCCTGCCCCTGACAAAAGCCACCATCTTTCCTTTCCCATCCAGGTCGCTTGGCGATGATTGTGACTGAGTACATGGAGAACGGCTCTCTGGATGCCTTCCTAAGGGTGTGTGTCCAGGCCTAATGGCACGTATAGACCAGACCCGGGGCAGGGGGTCCAGGCTGAGTGATGGAAATTATTGTACCCATCACACCTGGAGCAGGGGGAGATGGGGACAAGGAGGGGTCTCCAGGTCTAGCCAATCAAATGCCTTTCAGCTCCTACGGTGAATATCCTGCTTCTCCATGAGGGTCTGCCCCTTTTCCCAGGCCAAGAGTGTCTGTGGGGGTCTGATGCTGCTTGCACCACTACTTGGAGGAGGTGGCTAGATTCACACCTCCTTCCCTGCTATGTGTTGCTGGGAGGCCTCCATTTCTCTTGCAAAATGGAAGTCATGGCCGCCCCACATGCCTCACAGGGCTTCTGAGAGTGCACAGGGACCCTTGAACTGCAAGTGTTTCTGTAAGCAGTGAGGTATGATGCACGACTGCAAAGAGCTGCCTCCACTCCAGAGTGTCACCCGTGTGGGCAGGATGTCACCCACGTGGGCAGGGTGACCTGCTCTAGGGCCAGGCGCCCCCACTGGGCCTTCCTGAAGCCCATGCCATGTCATGCCATGCCCCTTTGCAGATCCATGACGGACAGTTCACCATCATGCAGCTGGTGGGCATGCTCAGAGGAGTGGGTGCCGGCATGCGCTACCTCTCAGACCTGGGCTACATCCACCGAGACCTGGCCGCCCGCAATGTCCTGGTAGACGGCAACCTGGTCTGCAAGGTGTCTGACTTCGGGCTTTCCCGGGTGCTGGAGGATGACCCCAACGCTGCCTACACCACCACGGTGCGTGACTTGCATGCTCCCCCAAGGGCAAGATGGCTCTCCCAGCCCCCCCATCCCCCACACCTGAGATCAGCAGCTTCAGGGTCACCTCCAGCCTAGGCGAGTCCTGCCTCTGGAGATCTCCCCCTCTGGAAATCTCCTCCTCTGGGACATGGGGACAGCCTTGACTTCCTTTCCTCAGTCACCAGCTGCCTTGGGGAACACAAGGCTGGTTCCAGCTGTCACTACCTCCAAATCACACATGGCTTCCACGTCTATCTTGAAAACCAGCTGTGTTCCCATGTGCTCTGTGGAGACTGGGGCTTCTATCTCTATACCTTGGAGTTGCCTTAAACAGGAGACTCACACAGATCCTCCTTTAGCTGTCTCCCACCGGGCTTCTAAATCGGGTTTCCCCAGAGAAGAGAAACTGGGAGCAAAGAAATAAAGAAGAGAGAGGAGTTAAAAATGGCCAGGCAAGTTCTCTGTACTCCCTCATGGTTCAGGCCCAGGCCTGTTGGCTGGCATTCTTTGAGCATCTACTGTGTGCCAGGCATTCTGCACAGTTTCATTCTGTTATCATAGTGGCTGGCTGTGTGAGGTGGGTTTCCCCCTCAGGACAGGTGTTTCCAGAAGGCAGGGCCATGTCTCCCCGACTAGACTGAGAGACAGGACTCCAGAGTCCAGCTTTCTGACTCAGGATGAGGGAGAAGCCTAGATTCAACAGCTCTTCCCTTCTGTGTCCATCATAGGGCGGGAAGATTCCCATCCGCTGGACAGCTCCAGAGGCCATTGCCTTCCGCACTTTCTCCTCAGCCAGTGATGTGTGGAGTTTCGGTGTGGTCATGTGGGAGGTGCTGGCCTATGGCGAGAGGCCCTACTGGAACATGACCAACCGGGACGTGAGTGTGGAGCCCAGGCCGGGCGGTGCACATGGGCCTTGGTGGGAGGTGCAGCCTGAGCCCAGTGCTGTTCTCACGCCAGGTCATCAGCTCCGTGGAGGAGGGCTACCGGCTTCCTGCACCCATGGGCTGTCCCCGAGCCCTGCACCAGCTCATGCTTGACTGTTGGCACAAAGACCGGGCCCAGCGGCCGCGCTTCTCCCACATCGTCAGTGTCCTCGATGCACTGATTCGCAGCCCTGAGAGTCTCAGAGCCACAGCCACAGCTGGCAGGTATTTTGCACCCACCCTTCCACTGGTGAGGTCCAGCGGCTGACTTGAGCCAGTCTCTGGGACAGCTCGGCCTGAGCCCTGGCCCAGACCCAGCCTGGGCTCATTCCCCACCACCCCCAGGATCCACCCTTGAGAACTCTCTGCCCACTGCTGAGCTGGAAGGGGGGATCAGGGTCGCCAGTGCAGGGGTCTCCAAGGAAGATCACAGCCCTAGCAGGCCACTAACAGAGGGCCCTGTGCCTCAGGTGCCCGCCCCCTGCCTTCGCCAGGAGCTGCTTTGACCTCCGAGGGGGCGGGGGTGGTGGCGGGGGTCTCACCGTGGGGGACTGGCTGGACTCCATCCGTATGGGCCGGTACCGAGATCACTTCGCTGCCGGTGGTTACTCCTCCCTGGGCATGGTGCTACGCATGGATGCACAGTGAGTAAAGGGTGCCGGGGGCCTCTGGGGGTGGGGTGGGGGCAGGGCAGAGGCAGGGCCTGCAGAAGGGCATTTCCTGGGGACAGGCACAGGGTGGACCTCCCAGCTCAGCCTGATCAGTGCTATGCTTCCTCCACAGGGATGTGCGTGCCTTGGGCATCACTCTTATGGGCCACCAGAAGAAGATCCTGGGCAGCATCCAGACCATGAGGGCCCAGCTGACCAGCACCCAGGGGCCCCGCCGGCACCTCTGACTCAGGGCATAGGGCCATGGCAGCTATCCGAAGACCAGACTGGCGGCAGTCAGAACAGCCCTGAGCTCTGCCTGTCCTGCTCTCAGAAGCTAGGGAGGCGAAGGCTCCGCTGCAGTACCTGGAGTCACGGGAGTCACGTGCCTGGGCTGGGCATTTGGTGCCCAGCATGGCCAAGGCAGCTGCCTCCTGGGGCAGAGGGCTTCCTCTCTGCCAGAGCCTGGAGCCTCGAGACAGAGGCCAACAGAGATGTGGCTCTCTGTCTCGTGTGTGCACACGTGTGTGTATGAGTGTGCTGTGGGTGTGCGCTCTCACGAGGTTGCAGAGAGCCGTGCAGGCAATATGTGATCACCTCTGTGTCCATAGTCGGGTCCCAGCACACCGTGCAAGTGCTAGGATGTGTGTGCTTGTCTGCTGGGGCTGGGGCCACACACGTGTGACTGTGGTGATGCATCGTGAATCAGGAACGCATTTGTGTGCGCGAGGAATTCAGTGTGGCACTGCCCACATCCCAGCACCCATGGGGGCTGAGCAGAGGCTCTTCCCCGCCCCCCCATGTCTGGAGGTTGGAGCCAGAGGCTGCTTCTGAACCACACCAGCACTGGGCCCGCCCTGGTCCCTGCCTGGGTGAACCCATCCCCGGCTGTATCTCAGGTCCGGGGCCTCCCTCCAGCTGGGGGGCCACCTTCAACTTCCACCTGGCTCCCACTGCTGCTCAACAGGAAAACAGGGTTCCTGGCCAGTCCCTCTGGCCAGCTTTCTCATAGGCATCAGGGCAGAGTACTCAAGATGCCCACAGCTGGACTTGGCTGCCTGGCTGGGGCCAAGGGGCTGTTGTTGATTCCCCTCTGGTTCTGATGCCCCCTCCAGCACCCAGGTCCCCTCCCATGGAAGCCCCTTTGCCAACATCTCACTGCCCAGCCCCTCCCTGTTCCCTGCCCCATCCTGTCCCAGGGTCAAGGAATAGAAGATCCTAGCCCCGCCCCCTTCTGTACCATATGGGGAGACTGAGGCCCAGAGATGGGTACATCTTATCCAAGGTCACACAGCAGCCGAGGTTCAGAGCTGGAGACTCCTGCCTCCTAGCCCAAGGCTCGTTTTCCCCATTCACCTCCCCAGGCAGCCAGCTGTGGTGGGAGGGAGGGGCCTGGGAAGCACCCCCCACACTGGCTGACCCTCCCCCTTACGGCCCACCAGGGTATGTAAATATCTCTTTTCTATCATGTCAGAATATTTTTTCCTCACTCCTGACAATGCAAAAATGGTCTTCAAAGCACATAGAAAGCACGAAGGGTGAGAAAGGCCCATCCCAGGGAAGTCTGGCAGGCAGGACCCAAGGGACCCTGTCCCCTGTGTCCCCCGCCAGACCCAGAGGGAGGGGCCACCCAGCTTCCAGCCCCTGCCCAGCTCCTCCCCATAGCCAGCACAGTTACCCCGCGAGACACCAGCACTGAGCCCCCTTTCCCTTCTGCAATAATTCGGGGAGTCTCAGCCCGTCCAGGTGCCGCGGCCAGCTCTCTCCACCTCTATATATTATATTACTATATAGCCGAGCTGCTCTTCCTTCCTATGGAAGTGGGAAACACGGTCAGGACTCGAGTGAGGAGGACCCTGCGTTCCTCCCCACCACACCCCACTCTCACCCGGTTTCTGGGCTTCGGATCCTCATGGTCACAGGGGCACATGGGCCTGGCACTTGCCAAAGTGTAGTCCCTGCTCCGGATGGGGGTCCCCCTCGGGTCCCAGGGGTCTGCCTTTCAGTCCCCAGCCTGAATCTTGAACTTACCCACAATGAGAATAAATTCTGCCTCATCTTTGCTCATGTCCCTTGTTTTTCATCCCTGCTGGTGGGGAAGGTGTAGCTTTGTGCACGCCAAGCAGGTGGCATTTCCTCCTGGGCTTCTTGTCTTCCCAAGAAGTGGAACAGTGCACCCATTATACTCCCGGGGAGGCTGAATCTCATCTAGATCCACTTACCCGAAATCAAGTATGGGGTTGGGATGAATCAGAGCCGCTATTTGCTAGACTCTAAAGCCCACGGTCTGCTCGGGGCACCTGAGAGCAAGTTCTGCTTCCCAAAATGCAGATGGCATTCACTGCCGCAGGGCCATCCTTACAGCTGGGCAGTACCCTTGCCTGAGTCCTCCTGGGAAGAAGACACTTGTTGATGGAAGAAACTGCTCAGAGATACAACTTCCCAGGACCACAGGGCAGAAAGGGAAGATGAGGTGAGCAGGTGCACAGCTGTGTCAAGAAGCTGAGGACCTGCCTCAGCTCTGGGGCAGAAGGCACAGCTTGGAGCCAGAGTGGTGGCACCAGAGCAGGGTGGGACACAGAAGCAGAGCAGAACTGGCTCCAGTCATTGGAGCCAGTACCTCAGACACTGGGGCAGATGCCCCTCGGTTACAGAGATGGGCAGGTAAGGTCGGGAGAGGGAAGTTTTCACTGTTGGACTGCCTCAAATTGGGAGAGTGGGAATGGCGAGATGGGGGGGCAAAAGGATGCTCTGAGAGGCTCATGTGCCATGTGGCAGAGCCACCACCAGCACTGCCACCACATAAAGCTAGCCTACTGTGTTTCCTTAGACTCCAAACTCAGTTCCAGCCCCTTCCTTGAAAAACAAAACAAAACAAAAACACAAAACTGTGACACCTGCCTCCTCCCATAAAACCAATTATCAGACCCGGTTGAATACCTACTGTGTCCCACATGCCCTGGAAGCACAATGACCAATGAGAGGCAGAGACTGAGTGGAGGTCTATGGGGCATGAAGAGGCTCCTTAGCTGAAGCCACTATGCTGCATGTCCAGGAAAAGTGGGCGTGTGGAGAGGCGAGAGGTGAGGGAGATTGGATGGCCAGGCCTGTCACTGAGAACACCCTGGAGGAGGAAGCGTTCTAATTGGTAGGAAAGGATAAAAAGAGTTTGGAGGTTCATTTGGCAGGCATTCCCTGGGCAAGGTGCATATTGCCAGAGGAAGAGCTCAGGTGAGAGAGAAACCCCACATGCATGGACCTTCGGAAGGGGGCGCCACCGCAAAGTTGGCGATTTCCCTTCAATTTAATCTGCACAGTTTACTGCCACTAAAAAATCACACCAGCGTTTTCCCTGCAGTTTGACAAGGTCATCCTCCAAAATATATATGGAATAATAACCCAGAATAGCCAAGATGATTTTGAAAAGGAAGAGGAAGGGTAACCTCACCCTAGCAGATATCAGTGGTCATTTTGAAGCTCTAAAATTAATATAGTTCAATCAGCTACCAGAAATAGACCAACAGATAAAAAAAAAAAATTATGTCCGGGAACAGATCCAAATACATATGAGAGCTCAAACATGACAAAAGTAAGTGTGGTCTAGTTAATGGAACATCTTAGGACAATCAAATGCCCTATGGAAAAAAAGATAAAATTGGAGCTCTGCTCATGCCACTCATAAAGTTCCAGGATGATTAAAGTCTTAACTGTAAAAAGCAAACTATAGGGGCCGGGGAGATGCCTCAGTGGAATAAGCGCTTCCCTGGCAAGAGCAAAGGCCTGAGTTCAATCCCCGGTTCCACCAAAAAAAAAAAAAAAAAAAAAAAAAAAGAAAAGCAAACTATAATAACTTTTTTAAAAAAAGAACAAAATAACTTCTTGATCTTAGATTAGAAAATAAGACATAGAACATAAATAATAAAGGAAAACAATGATAAATCATTTCATTAAAAAGCAAGAACATTTATATGACAAAAGATTTTTAAGTCATATACTCACTGTATGAATCTGTTTGAAACCCATATGTCCAGGAGATAATTGGTTTCCAATTAAAAAAAAAAACTACCAAGAACAGCTAAGAATTCATGTGTGTAGAGTGCTTGCTTAACATGTGTAAGGCCTTGAGTGTAACCCCCAGGACCACAAAACTCCAAAGAAGCACCTCTCCCCAAACATCTCAAACCAGTAAAGAAAATCAGATATGAGCAAGTAACAGAGGAAGAAATTTAAATGGCCAGTGAAGACACAAAGATGATTCTGAACTGGTGGACAAGGAAATACAATGCCTAACACTGTTTAAAACCAGTTAACAGTTTAAACTGGTCAACATAGAAATGCAAATTAAAACAATAATGAGACAGCACAATCCATCAATATGTAATATGAATGCATAATGAGTCTGTAACACTAGTGTTGGTGAAAGTATGGGGGAGACAGCGAAGTTTATAAACATTTATAAACTGCTGGTGAGAGTGTAGATGGAACAACTATTTTGCAGAGCAATTTGGAAGTGTTTAGTGTTAAGATGAACAACCTATAAGCCAGACAACTCCACCACTAATAGGTTCCCTAAGTAGAACCCCGGACAGGGATATTTATTTATTTATTGAGATGAAGTCTTGCTCTGGGGTCCAGGCTGCCCCTACGCAATCCTCCTGCCTCTGCCTCCCAAGTGTTGGGATTACAGGTGTGTACCACAATGCCTGGCTTAGAGTTTCTTGAGCAGGTGATTTATTGAGGTGAAAGGGAGCATGGAAACACAGAAAGGGTAGAAGGGGGGTGCTGGGCAATGATGTGTTCTCAGCTGGAGATTAGCTTTGGGGAGCTCAGGCACATTAACACCAGAGCAGGCAGCCAATATTTTATACGCCCATATGAGCCAGTCACTCTCCGGGCTCCATGTGGACAGGTAGTACAGCGCCATGGAAGAGGCATCCTCTAGAAGGCAGAAGCTATGAGTCCTTAGCAACCAACACTCCAGCAGCTGAGGGATGGATCTACCCACAGGTAATAGGCACCTGAATGATGCACCAACAGAGCTCCCTACCATATCCTGGACTAACATGAAAAGAACACGCATCCTAAGATATTCACTGCATGTTAGATGTAATAGAGAGAAGCCCGACTGCCAGCCAATCATGAGGCAATCTACCATTCTTCAGGTGAGTATATGGATCAGCACGTGTAAACATGGGTGAGTTTCCAAAATCTAACATGGTGTATTGGTCAGGGTTTTACTTAGAGGAACAGATATAA